TACAGTAAATAAGCTTACTAAGTGAAGGGGGAAGTTTTTGACGCCAGAGTTCTGTTTTTAAAACATTTAAATGAATAGATCATTAGACCATTAAACTTCACAAAGAAATATATAATTTAAATTGAAAATAATGATCGGCCTCACTAGCACTTGTGCTATAACACTAACGAGGGTAAATAAAAGGTTATTTATTTATCATTTTATTTATCTAGTCAGTTCGACTTAGTGTTTAGTGTCACAATTCTACATTTTTGGCAATTATGCCAGAAAAAAATTCGCTAGTCGGTAACTCAAAACAAAGAATTACCTAAACATCTGCTCGCAATCGATCTCACTTGTGTCTTCCATATTCAGACGAGGGCCCAACAATCGGGGTTCTGGAAAAGCTGCTTCCAGAAATAAAAAATCGAGATCTTCATTGCTCGAAGACGAGCCTTCAGAACTGCTATCATCCAGCTGCATAACGTTCATCAGATCTTTGTAGTCTTGTCTGATTTCAAGAGGGTCAATGATTTAGTGTTCTGCTCTCATTAATCCATAAAATCCAACAAACACATCAAAATTCACATCTCACCTTCGAGCAGCAGCCATCTTGTTTTTGTACTAATTTCCCATATAATTCACCAGTGCTATCACACGCGGATCTTAAGTCCCAAATATGGGCAGACGGCTAACGTGAAACCGCTAACTGCAAACCGCGGTTTAGCGTTTGCGGTAAGATGGCCAAACCTCGATCTTAAGGTCTCTAATATCTAATTTTGCATTCGTCTGGCAGTACATCGCACACTTGCGAGTCATGTATGGAGGCTCTTCGCCAATTACCTTTTGAGAACTCGAGTTTGAACTCCAGCACAAGTACCAACAGTTCTACTGGATCATGTTCCAACGATGAAACATAGAGTGAATATGATGCCTTGATTAAGAAACATTGGACCAACATTAAAATCGGACATGTTAATGTGGACCATATTGCAGGTTTTAAATTCTTTGAGGTCAAGTATTAGCTATTAGAAGGAAAGTTTGATATTTTAGTACTTTCTGAAACGAAGCTGGATTCCAGTTTTCCAGATAGTCAATTTATGGTCACCGGATATCGAATGTGTAGGGCTGACAGAAACATACATGGCGGTGGTTTATTGGTCTATATCTGCGCAGACCTCTGCTTTAAAGTCATTAAAGACCTTCCCAATCTTCGATTATGTGAGCGTGAACGGTACAAGACTGAATCGATTGTGCTGAAGGTGAGGATAGCTAAGAAGTGGGAAACCATTGTCGGTATCTATAGACCTCCAACATCTGCGTCTGTCCCACAATCGCTATGGAAATTTGAACTATCCTCCATACTTGAGGCGATCACAATACTTCCTGGTAACTGCTTTTTTGTAGGCGACTTTAACTCGGATATGTTACTACCAGACAAGCCGCCAAGGGATGGTAGAGTTATGGCAAACCTTCTTGATATTTACGACTTGAAGAATTTAATACATGAAGCCACCCGTATTACCAAGACATCAGAAATCCTACTGGACCTTTTTCTCACTGACAACCTGAGAAAAATACAGCCATCGGGCGTAGTCCATGTTAATATAAGTGATCACTCTCTTGTGTTTGCCATGCTCAGGGCATCGGAACCGAGAATACGATCTCGGAATAATATTAAAAGAACACGATGTCGTGATAACAGACAAAAAACAAATGGCGGAGCTTTTTAATAGTTATTTTGTCAACATCGCGGACGGCATGCCAGAGATTACTGAACAGAGTTATGGAAAAGAGTTGGATGCGCATCCTAGCATTCAGGCGATTTTCAACAACAATGAACAGCTCGCTGTGAGAAACAAATTTGCTTTTCAATATACTAATAAAACCCAAGTGGAAGCTTTGTTACTCAAAATCAACTCCCGCAAATCCTGTGATCATGACGGAATACCACCGCGACTGGTAAAAGAGTCTGCCAACGCAATTGCTGGTCCTATTGCTGCAATGATGAATCACTCGGTCAGGACAGGACAATATCCGTTGCGCTGGAAATTAGGTCAAGTTACTCCTTTATTTAAAAAGGACGATGAACTGAACAAAAGCAATTATCGAGCAGTGACCGTTTTACCTGCGCTCAATAATGTTTTCGAGAGGCTGCTTTCAGCTCAAATGGGCGACTTTTACCAAAACATATTGTCCGAATACTTATCTGCCTACAGAAGGCACCATAGCTGTGAGACATCTTTGCTTAGGCTGACTGAGGACTGGAGGCGTAGTCTAGATAATAAAGAGATCGTGGCGGTTATATCAATGGATTTGTCAAAAGCTTTCGACACCGTACCTCATGCTTTGCTACTAGCGAAACTAAAAGCGCATGGTTTTCATGAATCCAGCTGTGCCCTTATCGGTGACTACTTGATGGATAGAATGCAGCGAGTGAAAATTGGTGATACTTATTCGGATTGGATGAGTGTGAAGCGTGGCGTGCCTCAAGGCAGCGTCCTGGGACCCATGTTTTTCAACATGTTCCTCCATGACCTCATCTTTCACATTAAGTCTGTAAAACTAAACGCTTATGCTGATGACTGCCAACTGCACACATCTGATGTAGACCCAGTAGCCTTGGAACAGCGGATCAATCATGATGTACAAATAGCAAACAAATGGTTCGAAGACAATGGGATGAAAGCCAACCCCGCTAAACACCAAAGGATGGTTCCGATTACCCTTTCTCCTTCTCAACCACAAGATGTCTGGAACTTTTTGGAATAATTCTTGATAATGAACTTAATTTCAAGGAACACATATCCTCTGTATGTAAAAAATAAATAATCAGTTCAGTGTCTTCAAAAGATTTGGCAAACTTATTTCTACCGAAATTATACTTCGCCTTTATAAAACGTTTATGCTACCCCATTTTCACTACTGTTCAATGATATGGCACTTTTTTAATTCAGAGGACTCTGTTAAACTAGACACCTTAAATAGACGTATTTTAAGATTTGTTTTAAAGGACTGGGACTCGAACTATGATGATCTTTTAGACAAGGCAGGTGTGTGTAGCTTAGCCAACAGGAGGATACAAAATATGATGATTTGTATATTCAACTGTCTCCATCTTGGTAAATATCCGTGCTATTCGAAACAACTGATCAAGCTAAGATCTACGGCTTACTCCCTAAGGGGCATCAATATTTTATCACTTTCTAAGCCGTTTACATTCATCTGTTAAGTACTGGAACTCCCTCCCTGACCACTTTAGAAAGACTGTAGATCATAGTGAATTTAAACTGTTAGTGCACGGTTTCTGTTAATATTACATTAATATTACATTATATTATGATATTAATGATTATTATATTATTATATTATGAATTATTTTTTATTTTTTTAGCCTTGTTCTTACTGTAACTTTTAAAATTAGTAATTAGGATCGGAGATACTAGCTTGTAAGCTACACTGAAATCCGAGGATAAATAAAGCTTATGTATGTATGTATGTATGTAAGTGGAAAGTCTCATCAACTCATGAGGTCTCACTCACATCTACGATGACGAAGAGTCTATCTCACATCCTCTGACGCTGTCCCATTCCATTAGTGGTCACAGGATCAGTACTATGCCCAATGACGAGCACTTTGAGATAATGAGAACTCACAATTCACTAACGAAAAGACAACGACATTACAAGCAATTGCTTCAACAATTCTCAAGGCAGTGGAAACGAGAGTATTTAATAAGTTTCCAAGAGAACTCTACAGCAAAGTCTGCCAATGGTAACCGTTCCTCTATAACTGTAGGTGACATTGTCATTCTCAAGAACGACTCTACCTCCAGGGCATTCTGGAAACTGGGCAAAGTGGAACAGTTAATACCAGGAAGGGATGGAAAGGTTAGAGCTGCCATTGTCAAGGTGTCAAGCAAGAACGGAAAGGCTCAACTTTTGAAGAGAGTGATTCAGCGCTTAGTTCTCATCGAAGTACGAGTGGAATCAAACAACAAGTACAGCAACCCTCAAATATGCAGTTACAAGAACCGGAACCATTCACAGCAATTCAATTAACCAACGACCACGACGAAATGCAGAAACTCAAGGAGAACTGTTGAGGAGACAACTTTTGAATGTTTAAGTTTAAGTTTAAGTTTGACCACTGTAGTGTGGTCAGGGTGGGGAGTGTTGAAACCTCACTCCCATGCGTAACACGAGTTCGATCATGCGCAACATGAGTTCAAAAAAACTGTAACACAAGGTTTCCAGTAAATATGAGTAGAGTTTCACCGATTAAAGTTGATATTCAAAAGCATTTGGAGAATATTCTCAAATATCTTCAATAAGCATTAATAATGATTTTCAATCAAATTCAAGGACCAATGAAACTTCACAACAGAATTCTGTTGGCACTTCACAAGTCAATCTATCTACTGCTGATACATGTAGTACAAAAACTTTTACTGCAACAGAGATCTCTGCTTTAGCATTCTATGCTATTTGTTTTCCAGTTCTAAAGCCTGGTAGTTATTGGAACTCTGACACATTAGATGCTATTGTTGAATTTGGAAGCACTTTCTTTATTAATACCATAAAATATCAGTGCTCCTGGGCACTACCAGAAAATATCAATATACTTGGGGCTAATATTAATGTGAATTTTGTTGGCAGTAGGAATGGAACCCTTTTGAGTACTTCATCTTCTAGTAAACTATGTCTAGAAAGGTTCATTTTGCAAAGCCAAAGTGTGAATACAGGGTTTTTGCTTTATTTTTCCAAGCTCTGTTATAGTTGTGTTTTTCCTAAAACCAGTAGAAGCACAATAATTTTTTTAATTACTGTGGATGACAGTAGACAGCTTGAGGTAGCCAAGGCAAGTGACACACATAGTTTAGTCCAAGTAATTTAAGGCAGCGTGACAAATAGACTCAACTCTAATAATACATAATATTTCATTCAATCAATATTTTGTACGTCAGCTGAGTAAAGCTGATAGACAAAAGATTCTGAACTGTCACAAATCTTTTAAGAAAATGAATATGGCAGTGAAAAGGAAAATGTCTTATGCTCAACTTGAACCTCCAAAGGAAAAAAAAATGTGCTTGAACATGTGTTCTCAGTATTACAAGAATAAAAAGGCAAAAACTCTGACTGATTATGCTGAAAAAAATCAGTCTATGGAGGCAAATGAAAAACAAAATCTATTGGCTAAAAAAACAAGCTTCTCAAAACATGGGTAGCTGTGAAAAAGATAAATTGTCTGAAAAACAAAGGACTTAAACAAGTAAAGCTTAGCAGACAAAACCTTTGAAATGCAATGTCTTGGATTCTTGTATCAACTCCTTTCAAAAAAAAAATCAAAGAAGGGCCTTATTACATATGTTCACTGCATCACATAAAAGATGTAATTCAAAAGTCTTTACAAAATCTTGTATGTCAAAACCAGGCTTAATTATTCCTAGGACAAATCCCAGGGACACCACCCTACTGGCAAAAGTTTATGTACAAAGTTGTTTCCATGGTAAAAGGGCATAGTATTCCCACCTGGTTTATGACTTTGTCTTGTGCTGACCTTATATGGCCAGAATTGTTTCAAATTATTGCCAGAACACAAGGCCTAATTTTAACAGATGAACAAATTGAAGCATTGTCTTACAATGAAAGATGATCTATGCTTAACTTAAACCCTGTTATTGTTGAGAGTTAGAGTTGCCAAGACTGAGCCAAATAGAACTTGATGCATTCGATGATGATAGTACAGTTCTTTACAAATCAAATATCATCAAACGCGACAGAATGAGACCACATACAATTCCTTCTATGAATAGCTTATGTTTAGCTCAATTTGCATCATACGTTTATAAAGAATACAGCAATAATAGTGAAACAAGTGATGTTCAACCAGAATTACTTACACATGATGCAATTGAATTACATGTCCACTTAGACACAAATACTGATCTTAATAGTCAATTACCTCCAAGAATAAAATTAGTTAACTCTAATGAAGTAAAGAAATACAGGAAAATTAGGGCTGTTGTGCGTTACCATACACACACAAAAAAAAGAAAACAGCCTGAATACTACTTTCACCACTTGCTTATGCTATATTACCCACAGCTTAATGAAGATACTCTGGTTGTAAGTGAACAAACATATGCATCAAAATTCAACGAGCCTGAAGAGCAAGCTGTTGTTGAACAAAATAGAGCTTTATTTGAACCAGATTCAGATGCTATTTCAGAAGCATTGGAAGCATTGAGAAACAATGAAGGCGCCAGTTTGATCAGGAAAATGAAGAATTGCTCCTATATATGTAGGTAATTGTGAAAGCGACGAGGAATCATTTAACAAACAAGTGCCTTCGCATCTTGCCTCAAAATCTAACTCTGGCCATATGTCGGCAGTTCCAACAATTTCAAGTCATATTCAACCAACTGAAATTTCTGACGACTTTTTACAGAAGTCTGTAAACAACATATTACATATTATACTGCTCTATTTTGGTGCAGAAACAAAGTAAAAAATACTCAATCTCTCAATCCTGATTAAATCAAACCAATTTATCTTTTTTATCACAAGGGGTGCTGGTGCAGTTTGTACCATCCATGGCAGGTTTTAACTATGATAGAACTAACTGAGATCATGCAACAAAAGATGACCAACAGTTCACTGAGCCTTTAAACAGATTCAAAACTGGTTCTCAAACAGACAAGGATGTAAACTGTATTAACTCTAGGCTCATATTCCCATCAGCTGACAATTATCCAGTGGATACACTCCACATATGGGCGGAAAATGATCCTGTCAATGAGTACAACGACAAACGACTTGAACAGTTGTCATTACCTTTGTCTATACTTAAAGCCACTGATCAATACCCATCACAAGTTACACAAAGGGATATCAATACGGTGCTGTCCAAGACAAGATCTGATACAGGAGAATTCAACTTTGAAGTCAAGATTAAAGGTGCCAGAGTAATGCTAACTACAAAAATTGACATTGCAGATAGAATTATCAATGGCCAAATGGGAACTACAATGAAAATTAATGTGAACAAACTTGTACAAAAACTATCTGTCATTTACATAAAATTTGATGACAAAAGAGCAGGAAACGCCTTGATACAGACCGATGGTGACTCATCCGTGCAATAAAATAAGGTTGTTGCTATTGAACCAATGCTGTCAAAAATCAAAGTACATCCTGGTAAACCATCTTCTCCAGAATTGCAAATAATTAAATTCCCTATTGCTCTAGCATGGGCATGCACAATTCACAAAGTCCAGGGTTTGTCACTTCAAAACGTTGTTATTAGTTTTAAATTACACAACCAAAGGTCTCTCAACTATGGACAAGTGTATGTTGCATCGAGTCGAGCAACTTCACTTCAAGGACTGCGCATTCTTAACGAACTCAACAGTACACACGTCAAAGTAGATTCTAAAGTACATGATGAATATAGCAGATTGAGGCGTTTTAAACCAAAAGATGTACATGAAATTGTACCTACAAATCATCAAAACAATTCAGATATTACATTCTGCCTTTTAAACACAACTTTTACCAAGAGATAATAACTCTGACAGTAGAAACAACTTAATCCTATTTGCACCAGACAGGTATGATCATAATTTAGACTAATTTCAAATTTAGGAATAAACCAAATAAACCACATATTCATATTTTACACCAGGAACACTTTCCTACTTTGAATGCTGTTAAGTTAACGGTCAGTTGTGACAGTAACATATTAAAACAAAATGTAGCCCTTCTCCTTGTATATCGTAAGAATGGCTCACACTTTTTTGATTTTACCACTGGATTAAGTTTTATGGTTACAACTCACGCAATAGATTTAGTCTTGGGAGATGTCAATATAAACCACTTCAGCTGCAAAGATGTAGAACCACTAACATCAATGATGGAATCACTGCATTATACGCAGATTGTACAGAGACTTACGTTCCTTTCTGGTAGTCTACTCAACTATGTTTATATTTAACATGCAAATAAATCCTTCAAAATAAGATCAACTCCATCCTTTCGGCCACTGACAACTAAAAATTCACTTACAGGCACATTAAACCCACCCATACATGTAACTTTCTCATTGATACTCATAACGTGACACATCTTTCCGATTTCCCTCATTTTTCCAAATTCAAATAGTACCCCATTATGCTTGCATAGACCAATGCATCCCACGGAAACGACTTCCGGCATCTTGTTTGGGAATAAAGGGAATATCTATGCATTAAGACAATAAAATGACATATCCAACAGTACTACAGGTTAGCGCTTGTCTTGTACTAGTTTCCTTTTAAGTTAAAAAAAAAACCATCTGATACTAAAATTTTTTATGGATTTTTTCGGTATTTTTTGAGGTGAGGGGGGCGCAATTTCAGGCAGATTTTATCATGATTTTGATACAACTTCTTACGGAGCATTGCTTAGGTTGGTTTTCTGATTTTGGCTTAATATTTTTACCTTGTCGAGACACCTGTCTTGCTAATCCAAAGCAGTTTGTACGAGGTAATGAAAGATAAGCTTTCAGGTTTTAGTTGGGTTAGGGTTATGTTACCCTTGGTGAAATTCCGGTTTTTTCCATCCCCCCAATAGGCAAGACGGTTGTGTGAAATATTTTTTTTTTAGGCTGCAGATAGCTCTTGTTATGGTTGATTTGCAGTTAAAATTGCATGATAAAACAATGAAACGCGAATTTTTTACCAGTTTTTTCCTGAATTAACGAGTTAGTCCTCTTTGAGTATGAGACCATATGTCTAGGTTCAATAGGGAAGACAGTCATATCAAACAATTTTTTAACAGGATGGATGGTTGTTGTTCTTGTTGACTTGCAGTTTAAATTTTATTGAAAAATATTGAAACAGATATTTTATGAATTTTTAAAAGTCATTTGTTGTACTTGATACTTACAGGGTTTCTAGAGTGACAACTTTCCTATCTTTTGGTGGAAAAATCGTTCCCGTACCACCATTTGGTATTGAGTTGTGACCTGTCTGACCCGTCAAATTATAATAAACCATTCAACTGATGAATCATTATTCATTATCATTATTCATAATCATTATTCATCACTTGGATGGTTTATTTGGACCCAACATACTGACCAGCTCTAAGTTGGCCTCTTAACCCAGTTGGTAGAGTGCTTCACTGGTATTGCAGAGGTCGTGGGTTCAAATCCGTATGGGCCTGAATTTTTTTTTCAGGTCTTATCTTAACTGCTAGTTCAGTAGTGTTCATAGCTGCAAGCATCTCTTATATTCGTTTCTTCACTGCATTGCACATATTAGTTTGATATATCCACAATCATTATTCATCACTTGGATGGTTTATTTGAACCCAACATAATGACCAGCTCCCAGTTAGCTTGTTAGCTCAGTTGGTAGAGCGCTGTTCTGGTGTTGCACTGGTCATGGGTTCAAACCCCGTACAGGCCTGAATGTTTTTCAGGTCTTATTTCAACTACTAGTTCAGTAGTGTTCATAGCTGCGAGGATCTCTTATATTCGTATCGATAAACTTGTTGGTGAGTACACACTCTTGTTTATCACTACCTTTTCATGCTCTTAGCTCTCTCTACGTGCTACCTACAAGCAACTTAACTATCTGACAAGGTGTATAAGGCTAGTCGGAGACTGCTGGGTGGATTTTTGCAGAGTTAGAAGCGGCTGTTTATGTCTGGTATCGATCGTAGGTTTTTTTTTTTTTTTGGGGGGGGTATTTATTTTTTCCTCCATTTCAATAGATTAGAGTCTAATGAATAATTACAAGTAAGGTAAGAGGATGGAGAAGGGCATAATATAGCAAGCTAATTAGATGCCCTTTACCTTAAATAACATTTTTTTACACAGTAAAAGGAAGCGATACAATAAGATATAAGATATACGATACACATATAGTAGAGGGGATAGGAATCACACCTTAAACAACAAATATTTAAATAAAACACGGTCAGAGGAAGACATGAATCAGTACTGGGAAAGGTAATGTGAGAAAAGTGCGCTTTTAAAAAGTTCTTTATTGGGCTTCTCCCGTATAGATATAGGAATATCATTCCAATAGTAGCACCCTATAATTGTTGGAAAGAATTTCCTTATATTTATTCTGAAGGGATAGGGTTCAGGTGTTGCAAAGATGTACTTCTAGTGGCATAATCACGGATTTCAGATACAAAAGAAGGCGCAAAATTAGAAGAGTTTTCGTCTACAATATGATCGTAGAATAGTTGACACATACTCAATTTAATTATGTCAGGAAGCTTAATTAGGCCAAGGCCTACATAATGGGGAGTAACATGGTCACAAATTGGTACATTGTTGATGATTCTTATAGCTTTGTTTTGTAACTTTACCAACTGAGACAATGGAGCTTCGTAATTATTACCCCACAATATGCAGCCGTATGTTAAATAAGGATGTACAAGTGCATACTACACACCTACAAGAGATTGATGTGTTACATGTTGATTCAGTTTTGCGATTATGTCTAAACTAACTTTACTGCCAATATAGTCAATATGATCATGCTATGTCAGAAAGGAATCGATAACTAATCCTAAGTATTTAACAGTGAGAGACTGTTCAAGGTATTAATCGGCTAATTTAAGGGGGGATATAAATTGTAATTATTTCTCTGTTGTGGTTAGAAAACCAGGTATTTTGTCTTAAATTCAAGGTTAACTTATTTGAGCATAGCTATTCATAGACTAGTGGTAGTTCGGAATTTATTCGCTGGATCAATACATCTAAATCACTACCAACCATCAAGTGCTTTGCCAGCTGTAATGTCCTGGATACTTTTTGTTTTTCAGCACTGTCTAGATTTTTAATACAACATCACGGCTTGACTATGTTAACTACTCTACAATGCAAGAACCTATGACCCTGAACGTCAGCTGTCAAAAAAACATTGAAATCTGAAATCTCACACATACTTTCTTTTTAAAGTACTGCAAGTATTCTTTGGTAAATTCTTAACTTGGACTAAGTACGTTACAGTTCTCATGGTACCGGTACAGTAGTGATAAATGTTTTAATATCTACTTTTTTGTTCCAGCAATGCAAGTATTTCCTACACAACATCACAACTTGACTGACATCAAAAAAACTACTCCATACAAGAAACGATCAAAAGCAAGGATTATCAGAAGTGTTTGGTTTAATAAAGAAGCACACCCAGAAAAACATTATCGTGAATTAATTATGCTTTTCATCTCATGGAGAAATGAACAAATTGACTTGCTTGGAAATTGCTCCACCTTTGAAGAACGTTTCTCCCATTTAAAAGATGAAATATCCA